CCCAAGCTTTCAGGAAACTCCTCACAGTGAGGCCAAGAGCTATGTTCATAACAAAACTTAAACCCAAGCAAAATTTATCACGTTTTGAGTTTCTTCATGAAAGGTTAGACCAACTCGGGATGTGCTCTGTTGGGATAAGAGGAGAGATGGATTCTGCCCTTAAGGGCCAATTTCACATCCATTGAAATCACATGCAAAACTCCCAGGGAAGCAAGCTTAAACCTTTAAACAGTGTTAGAAAAGCAGCTACCACAGTTCTCTGTCACTCTAGTTAACCATCTATAAACAGTTACTCACTTGACCTCTATTTGATCTCTCCCTCTGCCCTCCAAGGAATCTTTCAGGGCCAACACACATTATGGATATCTCTGTGTACATGAATGTATGAGGCTATTTTACTGCAATGAGAACAGACCTCTTGCAATTCTATCTGAAACCTGCTTATTTGGGGAGATTCTTTTTTTCCTTCTGCAGAGCAGACAAATCCAACAAGTCACTTCTCTTAGTTTAAGCTGCTTTGCTGCAAATAGTTAATACTAAAAGTCCTGTTCATTACACATGTAAAGGATGAGCTTGGAACCCTGACATGGAAATAAGGAGGGAATATAGTGTTAGCACTTGAAACAAGAAGGTCAAAAACAGGATTCAAGAAAGATCTTCAAACTGCTCTAGGGTTGTCCTCTTCTAGCTGCTGCTTGGATGCGCAGCAAGACTGCAAAGCCTTCAAGCTTTCACCTGATTAATAGTCTGGGGGGGGGGGATCATATAGGAATGTCACAAGAATAAAATTACTATTAAAGAAAGAATTCTTAAGCAAAACAAGAATGACAGTAAGATGGAGGTAAACCTAAGGGCAGATAGTCAGTAACTGAAGAAAGAACCTTATATGAATGCCTTGGGTTTTTGCTGGGTTTTTCTGAAAGTATGATAAATCAAATAATTTCAGAGTTAAGTTACAAAAGAATATAAATACATACAAATATTGGAACACTCAAAATCTCCAAGCACTCTTAACTCTGCACCCTAAGGATACCATGCAATGGTTAATGTATTTTTTTAACATTTTAGCTTCCCATCACAGTATCATACTATGTGGAAATAAGCAGTTTAAGCATGCTTTAAAAAACACATCTTGAAAAAAAGCTGCACCTAGAGACAGAGATACTAAACTGCTATAGTCATTATCATGTGGGCTAGTGTTACAAGGCAGAGATAAGGTTGATTTTGTATCCTAATTGTGCAGTCCCACAGCCTAATAATACATACAGATTTCTAAACGTAATTATCGTTAACTCTAGATCCCTGAATTTACTGGCATTAGCATACTTGGTTTGTAATGTATTTTACTTCAAATCGCTGAGATGCACTGGGAATCTGAGCTCCACTTAAACATAGATTCTGCGTGAACACTATGGCCATCCAAAAAATGATGCGTTTAGTTACAGATAATAAGTCCAGGAAATATTAAGGAGGATCACAGTCAAATAGTATTAGTGAGAACAAGATGAAAACAGGGGTACTATTATTCCAAGCTGAGAACATTTAGTTTAATTCTTAACTCACAAAAAAGTTTCTTAATAATAATAATAAGATGTGCTGTACTGGCCAGGAATGGCTTACTTTAGACATAATCTGTGGGGATTTAAAACAACTTCAGATAATAATGATTTCATTGCTGGGTTATGCCAGTCTAAAATTCTAAGCAACAGAAATGTTGCCATTGCCTCGTTTAAGAGGAAGTGTAATTTGATACAAACACACTAAAAATTTGGAATATTGTACTATTAAAAAAGGCTGTCTCAAGCTGTGTTGAAATCAACAGTAGGTCTATTTAAGGTTTCTGAATTCATCCTTTCTTTGTTAGCATTCAGATAAAAGATTAAAGTTATGGCTATTAAGGAGCTCTGGCTGCAGCTGGTTTGGGGGTGGAGGGGGGATTCAGCCACCCACCTCATCGAGGGGTGTAGACTGGATTTTTTGAGCATTCAGATAAACACTGGTCAATTCTGTGGGAGTTAACACTAAGTTGAAACGAACTTTTCACGGAATTTAACACTTGCCACGTCTTTAGACTTCCCTTTTAAATGTAAAATTCGTTCCACTTTCCCTAAGTTCATAATTCTAGATTGGGGGGGGGTTGCAAACCGTAGGACCCCCGCTGAGGGTTTTTTCCTTGTTCTAATTTGTTTTATTGTTTTGTTGCTGTTTAAGTCTTAAACTCAGAATCGTTGTACCGTAGGCAGCAATTTGTTCTTGACTGACAGAAAAACAAAACAAAACCAAACCAAAAAAACGATCGCAGTTCGTAAAAACTGGTCGGTGTTCAGATGAGCTCGGTTACTGTATGAAGACCTCTTCTTCATCCCAGTAGCGGGAACTGCAGGATGACACCAGCGAAGTCGTGAAGGCAGCCCCACCGTCCGGGGCTGTATGCCGGCCAGGTCTCCCGTCCCTCGCTCTCCCCGCAGCCCCTTTCAGGGCTCTCGGGCTTTGCAGGCTTGGGTTTGCTCCGACCCGAAACAACACTCGTCCGCTTGAGGGTACCCACCGGGGGAAGTTCTGGGCACGGAGCAGGCTGGGCTGCTCCGGTAAAATCACCCTGGCACAGTAACCCCGAAGCTTGCTTTGATTTCCGATTCCTGCACAGTAGAGAACGTACCTCTGGGTGTGTGTGTGCGGGTGTGTGCAGGTGTGCCCGGGGGGGGGAAGGAAACGGAACACGACGCACCAGCGGTTCATCCCGCAGCCGTGGAAGCGGGACGGCGGCCCCGGGACCCCCCAGCGCCCCGCCGGGCTCCCCCCTCCCGGGCTCCCCCCTCCCGGGCCGGCCCGGCCGGAGGCGGCAGCTCCGCGCCGCTGCCGGGATGCAGCCGAGCCGGCCCCGGCGGTCGCGGCCGGGGAGGGGGCGTCGGGGAGGAGATAGAGGGGTGCTGCCGGGTGCCGTGTCCCGCGTACTCCGACTCCCTCCTGCTCGGGAGGCTTGGTCTCCCACCCAGAGGAGGCTCTGGCAGAGGGGGAGGACAGCCGAGGCGGCCGGGGAGCCGAGGCATCCATCCTCCTGCCGTGAGGAGGAGAGTGCGAGCGAGCCCCGTTTGGAGCTGGCTGCGCTCGGTTGTCCAGAGGTGTAGGGAGAGCCCACGTATGTGCGTGCTGCAACTCTTAAGAGCCAGCTCCAAAGGTCTGTCCAGGTATTTCCTAGGATCTAGCCAGTTTTCCCCTTCAGTTACAACACTTGTGCGTGACTGGGGATGCCAAGGGGGAGATTGATACTCAGATTTAACTCTGATCTCGTGCCACATCCATCCAGTCTCTTTGATAGATCCTTGGGCTGTTTTCCTCCTGGCAATAGCAACAGCAAAGAACACGCTATTACTCTCTTGTGTGAAGTGCGGTGTGGATGTCCCCATGTGCCAGCTGCAGCACTGGTGGGACAGCAGCACTCCTAGCAGTGTTTGCAGTGGGATTACGATTCGCTTCTCCCATCCCTGTAGAATGTCACAACTGTCACGGCAGTTGCAGCCAGGCTCACAGCACTAGTTACAATTAATTATTGGCCCTTCCAGTGCATTGGGTTCCTGCACCACTGTGCCAGCTTACCTAAAAGAAAGGGGGGAGAGCAGATCAGACTAAACAAATTCAGCGCTCATTGGTAAGCAGGGTCAAAGAAATACAAATAACTAGATTTAAGGAGCTGGATGTGTGTGTCAGAGAGGGAGCCAGTCCATGACCCAGTGTCAGCGCGAGCATTTGCCCTGGCCGTTAGAAACAAGCTGTCCTCAGTGAAGCGGCCATGGGCTGTTAGCACAGGTGCAGGATTTGGGCCCCCCGTTTCCAACCTCATGAGCTGCGGCTGAGAGAGTTTGAAGTTACCCAGAGTATTAACCTGCTGTGCTGCTGTCTTCGGTGGCATCGTGGACCTGTCCTTCAAACACCTCCAGACCAGGATTAGCTCTACCCACTCCCCCGCTCTCTGTCCCAACCTTACACGAGGGCGCCTGTTTTAAATGCAGCCGAGGGGTCCAAATTCAATCAAAGCCTCAATGTTTATCTAAAGTATTGAATGGCAACAAACAGGGCCCCGTGGGCTTGGACTGCAGACAGCGAGGACATGCTTAAGTCAATTAGACTTGACAGTGCTGTAATAGCTCAGGGTAAGCGGTACCCCTCAGACCTCCGGGCTCTGCAGAGCTATAGGGGCTTTCAGCCGAGGTGCCAGGGAGCCCGGCGGCATCTGCAATACAAAGGAGGCGAAATGCGGCAGCGAATGTACAACTGGGTTCAGCTGATACGGGGAGAAGGTGGTGTTTCGAGCCCGGCGTGCAGAGGCAAAACCTGAAAGCCTCCCTCTCTCTTTTTGCCCCCCCCCCGCCCAAATCCCCAGATAAACTTCTGGGAAGATGCTTCGTGTGAGGCGCTGGATGTGATGCCCAGGGCGCCGGTGTAAATCTAGATTCGCGCGCACGGGAGTGAAGGGGGATTTTCCTCCTCTTCCCGGTGTGAATCCCGGCTCAGTCGTTACAGGGTACGTCCCCACAGCTGTCCCAGCTCCAGCAGCTCTGGTTCAAGAGCGGTGGGGCCGGCGCGCCCAGAAGGGACCGGGGCTGGCCCAGTTTGGTGAGGAAACTTTCTCGCCCCCGGCCCGGGCTGGATGGAGTGACCGTGATCGCCGCTCCCCGCAGCCCCAGCCGCCGGGCGGGCGGGACCCCCGCGGGGAGCGCACCGCCGCTGTCTCCCGCGGGGGGGGCTCGGGTCGCGGGGCTGCTGGGCCAAGCGCTGAGCCCGGGGGGGAAGGCTGCCGGCCTAACGGAGCGAAGAGCGGAGCCCTCGCTCTTTTGGTTCCTTTCCAGGCATTTTTAGCAGAGGAAGGATGTAATAACATGCCACGGGCAATAAATCATAGGCTAGCTACTCCCCCTGGCTCCCCTCCCCCAGCCCCGGCGGTCCCGGCCCCTCTATAGAGGGAGGGGAGGAGGGGACTCCAGCAGAGCGCCGCAGCCGCCGGGACGAGCAGTCCAGCGCCCGCCCCGCGCCCCGCCAGCCGCCCCAGCATGGACCTCCGAGCCCTGGCTCTGCTCGCCTTCGCCCTGGCCATCATCTCCCTCTCGGAGGGTAAGTGAGCTGCCGGGGCGATGCCGCCCCCCCGCCTGCTCGCCGCTCGCAGCGCTCCTGCCTGCGGGCGCCGGGGAGCCCGGCCGGGAGTTACGGTCCCGCGGAAATCCCCGCTCTTGCCCCCCCTCTCGCCGCAGCTCCCCCGCTGTCCCGGCTCCGGCTCCCGCCGCCGCTGAGATGTGCGCGTCTGGCGAGCCCCGGGCGATAGCGGTTGTGAGCTGGAAGCAGGCAGCCTCCCTCCCTCCCTCCCTCCCTCCCTCCTTCGCTCGCTCGCTCGCTTTTTTCAAAAGAAGGCTGGTCAAAGCGATCCGCTTTGCCAAACTTGTCCCAGATTGAAATCGGCTGGGGGAAGACTTTCAACAGCGCTCGGTCCGCAGGGAGGTGGTTTGCTTGCAAAATACGCATATCGGTTTCCCCTTTAAAAAGGCAGCCCTAAAAGTTACAAGAAATGAGAAACAGGCGGTCGTTCTGTTCCTTTTCTCTCGTCCGTCGTGATCTATCTTCCTTCGATCAGGGCAGAGCCGAGCCAAAGCGGTCGCTCAGCAGGCATTCACCGCACCCCCGGCGAGGGTGCACGGAGAGGTTTCGGGGCGGGGGGGCGGAGAGCTGCCCTGACGAGAGGTCTGGGGAAACGCGGGCTGGCAGCCGGCGAGCGCTGCCGCGGCGGCATTTGTCGCTAAGGCAGCGACACCGCGGCTGTCCTTCCCGCACCGCGCCGCGGCCGGCTCAC